ACATGCAGCAGGGAATGTAAAAACAGAGGAGGCGGTCTTAAGAAAAGCTTTTCTTAAGACCGGCGGACGTTCGCCTCGGGTCCGCTTCAAGTCTGCGCGGACCTACGCGGAACGAAGTGCGCCCGAGTATGTGGGGGGCTGTTTCTCTCAGTAAACACGTACCTGTTGGTCAGATGTTTTTCCCGGGTCACTGTGATTAAATCCCTGCCTGTCTTCTTCAGCTCCACCTGTCTGCTACTGTTCAGCTAATGTTAGCATCCATCTGCGAGGCTCATCTCTCTCGACATCTTTCCGCTGGTTTTTCTTCTCTGACAGCTGTTTTTTTTAAATCTGCCAGCTTCAATGTTGTTTCCAGTTCTTTCTCAAACTTGTTCTAACAAAGAAATTCATTTCAATTCGAGCACCACTACAACTTCTCCTAGATCTGAATCAAAGTTCTGCCGATATCCAAGTCCCACCCCCCATCTGATTTCTGATTGGTTAGTAGACCTGATTAGTGTGTTTAAAGTGAAAGCTGCTCCTCTGATAGGTCCACAAAAATGTCTGTTAAACCGTTGGCCCAGTAAGTCTCATTTTTTTCTTTTTCTCCCTGTGGAGGTAAGCCGGAAATCCAGCACAGTGCCGGCATTTTATCAGCCCTGCCTTTGCTCTAACCCAAAACCAACACTGTTTTCATAAAGCCAAGTGTGTGCTAAACATTTTGATTTATCTATCTCAGTATCCACATTAGGCAATTTCTTTAAAACATATATAAAGGGACGTAAAAGTAAGGAAAAAATTCTTAAATCCCAGAGGGCTAATATTGATTCAAAGGGAGTTCAGATATGACTAAAAGAGCTGATGAACCGATTGAGTAATAATACAAAATACTCTCACCTTTCTGATGTGGGGTCAGCACAGTTGAGTGGGTACTTAAGCTCTATTACGTCTCCATTTTTCTCCTTCAGCTGCCCATGATGCTCCATGTAATACTGCACCAGTTCTGCAAGAGTGGCAAACTTCTCCCCACCATACAGATCATAAAAGTCTCCTGTGTTTTGGATTTTAATGTGGGTTACAGCTCCATTTCGCCTAAAAAATTTTATAAAAAAAGATGAAAATTATTAAAACAATCTTGAGTAAACAGGTGAAAAAGATATTCAGCAGAATCTACAGAATCTAGCAAGAAACCAGTTTTTATTGTGATAAAACATATTGTTTGTATAAAACTGACTTTTGTATGAATGTGTGTTTTTAGCTAATCAATTTTAGCTTAAGCCTAATTAAACGCCAGCACCATGACAGAGAATTAGTATTTTGAAAATATGTCAAACCAAAAGCACAGCTCAAACAGTAAGCATTTAAAACAATTTTAAGGAACCAAATCTTCCAACCTGCAGAGCAAACCATGGAAAGACATCCAATGTTAAGACCACACACTGTTTGGTGTTTTAAAATGTAGTTCAACAGAAGAGTATATCAGCCAACTTCATCTGTAGACAGAACCTTGTATGGCACCAGTGTGAAATTGGGCCCCCCACCTTGTTCAAATCTAACAAAACTGGTGTCAAACGTTTGTGCAGCAAAAAACCTTGTTCATGCCACTATCGTTCTTGAGATACTAATAAGTTTCCAGAGGTCATCAGAGGTCAACCAGCCCCGCCACATTACCCAAGTCAAACAAAACTGATGCCAATCAGTTGTGCTAGGTTTGTGCTGGTAAAAGTTTTGCTTGTGCCGCCTTTGTTTACAATACATTAAAGGTGACCTATTATTAAAACAATGTTTTAATTTTATTATTAAAATATAATACTGTAATAACATTATGTAAAAAACATAATACGTGTTTTTATAGTATTATTAAAACATAATACTATGTTTTAATGTCCTGATGCATCTCAGTAATCCAGGTAAAAAATCAAAGGAAAAAAAATTGTATAGGTCCTCTGGACGGGTTCTTCTTTAATGAAACGTTTCGTCTCTCTTCCAAGAGACTTCTTCAGTCTGAGAGTTTCAGGCAAAATTCAGGCTTTTAAGTCCTGCCTCCAGGTGACTGATACTCACATCGCATGACCATCATTCACAGGTGACTCATACTATCACCTGGCTATCGCTCACAGGTGACTGATACTCACATCACATGGCTATCGTTCACCTTAATTAATACCTTTTGTTAACAGGGGGTGGAGTGATACTGCCAATGGCAGCGCTGTAGCAGGGGGACAGTTGAGTGGGTACTTAAGCTCAATTACGTCTCCATTTTTCTCCTTCAGCTGCCCATGATGCTCCATGTAATACTGCACCAGTTCTGCAAGAGTGGCAAACTTCTCCCCACCATACAGTGGGGTTTTCAGCTGTCCCCCTGCTACAGCGCTGCCATTGGCAGTATCACTCCACCCCCTGTTAACAAAAGGTATTAATTAGGGTAAACGATAGCCATGTGATGTGAGTATGAGTCACCTGTGAACGATGGCCATGAGATGTGAGTATGAGTCACCTGTGAACGATGGCCATGAGATGTGAGTATCAGTCACCTGTGAGCGATAGCCAGGTGATGTGA